AATCCTCGGAATTGTTTTCCACGGTTGAAGTTAATATTTTGTTTTGATAAATGTTTACATTTTCAACATGTTGTCCATGTCGAACATTATGGCCGCTTTCTGGAGCCTTTTGCCGAATAATGAGCTCTTTGCTCTCTTGATTTTCAAAATTATGTTTTGTATCCTCCTTACGGCCGTTCATTGAATGAAGCTCCACCAATACATTATTTTCTTCATCCTCCTCATAATCACCGCCATAATGAGCACGATAAAGTTCCAACTGATCCGAAAAATCATCCACTTGCTCATTCAAAAAATCGTTGGTGCTCCTTCCACTACTCGTACTGCTGGTGTCGGAATCGCTATTTCGCTCATCATCTTGCTGCTCATTCTCAGAAGGCACCACTGTACTCAAAAACCTCTTTGCAGATATCACTCCAAAAGATGAAACGGAGGTATCATGACTAGAACCTTCTCTCCCAGATAATGAGGAATTGATTGAGGAAGCAATCGAGCGAGCTGAAAGAGTTTTCATTTTTTTTTAATGTTTGTCCCTTAATATAGGCATTTACAAATAGAGATAAATGAAAGATTATGCTTTTGTATGAATAAAAGATTGAAGAAGGATGGAAGTTTTATTCAGCAAATTCTGGTACTCGGAAAGTACTCGTCATGAATCCAATAATATTTCGAGGACATGATGAATTTGTTTCCTTCCATTTTTCTGAAAATTCTCTCGTCGATTCACCAACAATCAGAACTGGAATAGGATTCAATTGTGACACTCCCAACATGATCAAAGTAGGATGTTCCATATAGTGGTGCATCCATTGAGAGAGCTCTTGACAAAACTCGGCATTAAATTGATCCGAAGGAAATATTTGTTGAAATTCTATGGTTGAGGAAGTTCTCTCCACGAGAGGATGAGGCGCTGCTAAATTCGATGAAAGAGGTTGTGGTGATTCGTTAGAAGTTGTAGTAGTTGGAGTGGCAGGAGGTGTGGTTATCAAGCAGGAGTAGGAGGAGGACGGAGTGGAAGTGAGAGGATTGTTCTCACCATTAAGGTTGTTCTTCAAAAGAATTCTCTTATGGAGTGTTCGTTCTGGTAATTTGTACAATTCTTCATGAACTCCCAAATAGTGACAAATGAATTCCAAACTAATTAATTGTTGTTGATTATGAATGGAGATGATCGATTCTGTACCAAATGGTTGATCATGATGATGATGATTCAAAGGAGGTAAAATAAGAGGAATGAGAGGTGAATTCACTGCACTTGGAGTGCTTGGATCTTTCCATGTCATTTTGTGATATTCTCGTGAGGTTTGATGCACACTCAAAAGTTCTTGTTGCAATTGTTTCAGGAGAATCATGTCTTGATAGGTACTTTTACAAAAATCAATGAAAGGATGAAACGTCATGGATGATGTAAGATCTTGTTGTTGTTCAGATCGAAGGTGACGACTTGATTCAATGAACAGAATTCCACATTCATTCATTTTCAAGCTCGATTGAAATACCTTATTCTCAGATTGGGAATTGGCAAGTTGGGATATTGTGACATTTGGTGAGGAGGTTGTGGTTGTGATTGTTGAGGTTGTTGTTGGAACTTGTAAATAATTACTTGTCCAATATTTGATACAATCGTCATTTTCCCACTGCATGACCAATTGATTTCTCTTGTGGAGAATCACGGAAGAGGGAATGGAGGACATTGCCATGCTAATATTCAAGTTCGACGAAATTCTAGAAGTGTTGGATACAAATTTCAAAAGTGAAGATTGTTGTAACTTTTCTCTCCAAAACATGGTCGTGAGAGTGGTCCTCAAAGTCGCATCAACATTATCATTGAAACCTTCCCTTTGATCTTCCTTTCGATTCTCTTCTTGACCATGGAGAATCAAATTCCATGAAGAATGCACTCTCCGAAAACGTTCGAGTTCTTTGGGACATTCCACAAATTGTAAAATTTGATAGATAATTTCGTAAGGAACAAGGCTGAGAGAGGAGAATGTTTGTCCAATGATTGGGGAGCATGATGGTGTCAACAAGGATGAACAAGACATTGCGGAGAATGATGATGAATGTGCTGTTGCTACTCTCTGTGCGGATGATGATGATCCGAAGAATGCGATTGTGACTCTATATATTCCCAGAAGCACAACAACGAGAGTGACCTTTTTTTTATACCTTTTTCTCTCTCTCTAAACAATCCATAACATTACACAAGAACAACAACAACAACAACACTTGCAATCAGAATGCGAAATTGCCGAAATCCCATTCCCTCAAAGTGATGATTGAGAAGTGAGAAAGCAGGTAATTTATGGAAATTGGTTGTCGGGCTGTATGGAGTTTTCTTCTCAGAGAGAGAGATTCTGAAGGGCTTGTTGAGAGGTGGTTGCGCACTTTCATGATCGCCCTCGCGCTGAGAATTCGAGAGAGAGGAGGAAGAGAGGGAACTTTGAAGTTCGACTGTTTCTCAATTCTCAGGAGAGACAATTCCCTTCTTCAACCTCATTCACAAATGTACCGCGTTAGTCTTTGTGATGTCAGCGCTGGTGATGAACGACGATGAACGATTGTCTCTCTCGTCGAACGAGGTCATTGTTTGTCCTTATGAATTTCAACAACACCAACAACTTTTCTTAGACCTATTTAAACTTTTATCCGATGAAAACACATTCCAAACAACAACAACATTTCATTTACAATAAAATTATTCTGTGTATATGGTCGCGCACATACACTCTCTCCTAATATGATTTTTATTGAGACTTGTTCAACATTTTGCAAATGAATTGTTCATAATCAAAGTCACCAGAATCTTTGGCACCAATTTCATTTCTCATTTGAACCCATTCTTGTTCTGTGAATTTCTCACCCCAATTGCACAAGGCATCTTTCAATTCCTTGCTTGGAATGGTTCCTTTTCCGTCTTCGTCAAAAGCACGGAAAGCTTCTCTGATCTTTTCTTCACGATCACTGAGAGAAGAAAATTTGATGTGTCAATTGTCGTCGTCATTGAGTGTGAAAATTGAAATGTTGTGAGTGTTGTTGTTGTTGTTGTTGGAAAAATGATTTGGAGAAGAGAGAGAGAAATGATCATCATCGTCGGTGATAGCGATGATGAATTAACATGTGCACAGGTCATTCATCATGACGGAGTGTATGGTTGTGTTGTGAAAATGTTTAGAGAAAACGGAGATGACAAAAAAACGAAGGATTATGACCAGTTTCGAACGAATGATAAACACAAGATGAAAATCATTAAAATTGTCCATCAATCAATCGATTGACCATCAAATAAAGTCAGAATCAGTCCACTCCTCAATATATTATCAACTTACGTGTTCTTCAACTTTTGTGAAAGAACGGTCAAGAATTCTGTAAAAGTGATAAAACCGGTACGAGAGGAATCACATTCTTCAATCATCTTTCTAATATCATTTTGTGATTTGTTCTCACCCAAGGAGAGGAAAGTCTTTTCCAAGTCAGCTTTGGAAACTTTTTGATCCTCGTCCTTGTCGAAGAAGGCAAATGCTTCCTTGTATTCCTTGATTTGTTGTTGTGTGAGTTGGTCTGATGACATTTTGTGGGTAATGTGAAAGTGGAGAGGTGGAAATGGGAGAGTTGTTGTTGTTGGCTTTTTTTTTATGGGGTTGATGATTGATGTGAAAATGTCCAAATGGTGTCTGCAGACATCACTCGTCACCCATGTTGTGTGTTGACGTTTGAAGTGTCGTCATGTTTGTGTGGGACACCTTTGATAACAATACCTCAAATTACCTTTGATCTATGATTTTTATTGGACACGAGTAGAGAACCTCACATCATCATGATTTACCAAGTACTGTTATTGATAAAAACAGCTAGAGATGGACATCAGTGCACCGCAATTATCAATCTTGTTATGAATTTTATTTATTGTGAGGCAAATTATTGTCTTGATAGATCATAAAATTACGTCTTTGGAACAATGGTGAAAAGCTCAATATAACGATCGCCAATGTTACATCTATTTCTTTCATTGGCTGCTCTTTCTGCCTCACTCTTGGTTCTGAATCTAATGTAACAAATTCCAGTTTGACGATTTCTCTTAAAGTCCATCTTGAAGCGGATACTATCCTCCTCAAAATCATAACCATTGAAAAACTCCATAATTTCTTTTTCAGTTGCTGTGAAAGGGAGACCTCTCATTTTGAGGGTTCTCTCTGGGTGTTCAAAGAGCTTGTATTTGAATGGTTGTGTTGAATTGGAGGAGCTACCATTTGCGTTCGTGTTCATGAGTTGATCCAATCCATAAACTTGATAATTATTGTGATTATTGAACGAGTATTGGGCTTGTTGCATCATGAACATCATTGGATGATAATAACCTCCAGCGTAGGCAGGATTGTAAGAGCCATAATTGTTGTCTCTACGATGATAGTATGGATTCTTGCGATAGGTTGAGTGTTGATGTGTACTGTATTGCAAACCTACACGTGAAGGTTGTTGGTGTTGTGGAGCTTCTTGTTGACTTGCATCGCCAGAATTTGATGTCTCAAGAGTATTGACATCATGGAGAGTGGTCGTCTCTTGGGGAGCATTGGCTCCTTCTTCCTCTTGTTGTGGCTGTTCTTCTTGATTTTCTGTAGTTTCGTCCTCAATTCCACAAACGGCAAGCATTTCAGCTCGGTCACTCTTGAGAACTCTCACAGTGTAGGTTATTTCGTTGTGTTGTTCGCCAGTCTCATGATTCTCCTCAGTGGAGGTGATGGTGGTTTGATCTCTCTCGAGCGCTCGCATCAAGCTCTCCTCATCAACAAATTCAATAAAGGCTTCACCAGTCGAGTGTTCATCCTCACCAAATATGAGATGAATTCCAGCATCAGCAATGTTAAGACCATTCAACCAGTCAGCTATTTGATCCTCCTCAAAGTCAGTAGGAAGGCCTTCAATCTTGACAATAAATGATGCCTCTGTTGAACTTGTTGAATGTGTTGGTTTCAATTCGGATGGAGAGACAATGTTCTGGCCTCCATTCATCATCATGGTACCATTATTAGTACTATTTCTGTTTTGATAGTAATTATGACTTGGATAATAATGATTTCTCATAGTCGAACTTCTCGGATAGTAATTAGTAGAGGTCAGATATGGATGTTGTTGTGGTCTTGTTTGGTAATACTGTTGATGTTGTTGAATATAGTATTGGGAAGCTCGTAACTCTGAAATACTACTATGGAATAATTCAATGTAGCGATTTCTAATTTTTTCCTTATTTCTCTTGGCAGCTTGAACCATTTGTTCATGAGAAATAAATTCAACAAATACCTCACCAGTTCTCTTTCCTGTTATTGGATTAATGACGAAAAGATTTTTCTACGAGTTGGCATGGAAGATTGTTGTGAAAGAGATCGTGCTGCTTCTTGAGTGTGTTCATCGTGGTCACGATGTTCTTGTGGTGACTCGCTCTTACTTTCATCAGCACCAATACCACTCTGACTGCTTCTGCTGCTACTACTGCTTTCATCTGTAGCAGAGTTGAGATTGGTAGTTGTTGTGCTTGGCTCCTCGCCACCATTCATGAGAAGTGAGGAGGTGGTTCCTTTGCCATGATGATGATTACCACTTGGAACTCCTGCATGAGAATGATGACTCTGTCTATAGAGGGGAGCTGTTGCAATGGTAAGTCCAGAAAAGAATGTTTCAATTTCTTCCTCGGTTGCAGAGAAGGGAACATTGCGCATCTTGAGGATTTTTGAGTTGTTCAAATTCTTCAAATTACGTTCGAGAACTTTTTCTTGAATGTTCCATCTCATCCACTGTGCTCTTGAAAATCTCAATGTATCGATTGCCAAGATTCTTCTTGTCCATGGTCTTTCTTGCTCTCTCAAGTTCTTCATCAGACTCAAAACGAACATAGGCTTCACCTGTTGATTTTCCATAATAATTAAGCATGAGAAGAATGTCCAATTCCTTAACAAGTTCAATTGGTAATGTGTATTGTCTTACTGCTACTTGTGTGGATTGACCTGTGGTTGACGAGTCGAATACTGCTGCTGTTGAAGATGAATCCATTGAGGTCCATTCATTGTTACGAATCGTGAGGATTGATGGTTGTTGTTGTGAATGACTGGTTGGTGAGGAGTCTTGTTGTTGAGGAGTAGTAGAGGTGGTTGGTGAATGCGAGAATGTTGATGGCGATGAAGAAGAGTGATGTGTGGCAGATGAGGAGGTAGCATTAGAGGAGAAGGTTGCACTTGATGATGGTACTGAAATTCCCTTCAAAACATCAGCATAGGTTGGTGGTGAGGGAAGAGTAGCAGAAGTGTTTGTGGTGGTGGGAGAAGTTTGACTAGGAGTGTTCGATACTGCTGAAGCATTGCCTCCTCTAGAATGAGTTGAACCATTATTGTTGCCAGCATGAGCATTACTTTTCTGTGATCTATTAGGGCGTTTCATTGTGATGGAGGTGGAACTATTAGGGCTATTCTCAGAATGCTCAAGTGGTTGCATACTACTCTCAATATGGGACGGATAGTAGGTCATTGTAGAGTACTCTGCGGTCGCTGCTTGTATCTGTTCTTCCAAATTGCTGAGGGAAGGATCTCTCTTGGCAAGCTTAAATTCTGAGAAGAATTCAGCAATATCACGAATGGTACTAGTCCATGGTAATCCTCTAAGCCTTGCAACACTTGTCTTAAATTCGTCCGTAAGGGGAGAGTCGACTTGTTGTAATAGGGCTCTTTCTTGCCGAATAGTTTGTTGCAAGACATGAGGAGGAGGCTCAAATGAAGGTGAATGAATGGAGAGAGGCTTGGATATAAAGCTAGTCGTTGGTCGTTGTTGTTGTTCATTGCTGCTGTTGTTATTGCTGTTGGAGCTGGTGCTGCTGTTGGTAGTACTTGTAAGAGCACTTGAAGCATCAACAACGCCATTATGATTGAGCGCAATAACCCTACCATTCATGTCCGACGACTTGTCGTGTTCATGACTAGTACTAGTTTGGTTTTCCAATGATGAGGATGATAGAGAGGATGCTGCCCCCGATGAAACAAACATGGCTTCTTGTTGTGGGTATTCTAAAGTAGAGGTGGTAGGAGTAGTAGTCGAGTGAGATGAACAAGAAGAGGAGTCCACTTCACTTTGATGTACTTGCTTGAGGATGGTTTGTGCCATTTTTTCGCAATTCTTAATCATTGTGAAATTGCCTTGAAAGAAGGAGGGGATTGAATGGTTTTCCTTTGAAACTGCTGCAGTAGACAATGTTGTTGTTTGATAAGATAAATGGTTATTCTCAATTAATGTAAAGAATGGTCGTTCAAAGAGACTGTCAATATGAATGCAATGTCGTTGTGCAAGTTCCTGAATGAGTTGAGGAATATTGACGACACTGGAGCAATAGGAAAGTGTTGATTGATAGTGCTGGTTGTTGATATTGTTGGTGTTCTGTTGTTGTTGTTCCGTCGACGTTGAAAAGCAACAATGATGGACAGGAGAGAGGAAACAAGAATGTAATTTGCTTGGTGTAAGAATGTGGTCTGCCGAAGAGGATGATGATAATTGTTCGGATTGGATCGGTTGTTGTTGCAACAGAGTGAGTGATTCTCGTTCAATACTCTCGTCAAGCTATTATGTATATTGTGTGTTTTCAATTTCGGAATTTCAACGCGACGTTATTGTTCCCAGAGCAGAGGTTCAATATATTATTGAAAAATTCAATTATTTTGTGGTGGAAATTGTGTTCGAACAGAAAAGGCGATGATGACGAACAATATTGATTGAATGGTTGGAGATGGTGTGTTCGTGGTGGTACCGGTACAAGTGGTGGAGGTCGTTTTCAATATATATCGGAGTCAGAGTTTCACCGATGAAGAGGTTGTTATCGTTGAAGTGTCGTTCGTGATGGTGTGATTCGTTGAGTCGGCACAAAGCAATAATATTATTAATAACAAATTCAAACACACATTCAAAAAGTCACAACAACAATAATTGGTGTGAATGGTATTGTGGTGGTTGTTGTTGATGATGAATGTGAACAGTTGAACAGTATTTGTATATATACAAATATATAATATATAGGGGCAGGTTTACGCAGTCAACCCAGCACACAGAGTTTCACCACCAAAAGATTGAGCGTTTTGTTTCAAGTTGTGGTTGTTGTTGGATTTGGTCAATCAAAATGCACAGAATCACCAAAATAGTATTTTTCAAAATTATTCAATCAAAATTGTGTTTTCGGGGAATTTGTTAACGGAGAGTTGCGGAGAAGGTATTCACAAAAACCACACAAAAACATGCCAAATGTCGTCGCAGTGGTGGTGGAATCCAGTGCCAATCATACAATAAGCATGGCATAAACGCAAAAAGGAATTCATGAAAATATATCATCGCCATAAAATAGGAAAGGTGTTAAAAACACATCCGATAAAAAAAGTAACAAAATATATCTCATACGTACCAATTGGAGTAATTCACAAAAATTAGAAACAAAATGTACAGGATAGGGCGTATAGTGTTCACATTGTAAAATTTCTGTACTCGACGGATCATATTCCTCCAAATTAATGATCAATCCCTTTTGACTGGTGCGAGTGTGAGGTGAGATACCATTCATGTGATCATTGGAATTTGTGGCAGCGGTGGAAGTGCTGCTCATGTGGTGATTTTTGATCGATTTTCCATCGTGATGATTGAGCGATTTTCCGTGCTCATTAGTCGTGTCACCATGTTGTTCCGAAGTGGCTTTCCGAAGAGCACTATTATTTGTTGTCGTGGTGGCGTCACACTTGACAATATGAAAGCACACCGATTTGACACCACTCGGAAATGATGGTGCCACACCCAAGTAGGATGATGGCATGATCATGGAATCCTCTTTTGTGTCTAGACCCAAAAGCCACGATGAGAATCCACCATTGCTGCTGCTACTGTTTGTACCGTTCCGATCAAAACTCAAACATGTTTGCGGATACGAAAATTCAAATTCGATAATAATACAATAATGAAATGATTCTACAATATTTGAAATGATAGAATTACAATTCGTCAAGGATGGATTAAGATGAATACTTGTGGTTGGAAGTACATATTGTTGTTGATAGGATGATGGAAATAATTGGTGATGGATTGATGATGATGATGATGTTGGTCCGAAGGCCTGAGATAACGGAAATGACGATCTCCACAACCAATCCGAAGAGAAGGACGATGATGATGATGATGAACACGATGAAGAAGATAAAGACAAATATTCACTCATACCATCACCACTTCCACCGTAATAATAACAAGACGATGAAGAGTGACTATTCAATGATGAGGAACCATGACGGAGTGATGGTGGTGAATGTTGATGTTGCAAAAGCTCACCTTTGGATGTGATCGGATCGGTTAAGATACCTAAAGTACTTTCAGGAGGAGATGGTTGTTGAGTATGTCGTGGTTCGTGTGATTGATCGGTTAGAGAGGACGATGATGATGATACAAAACGAGAAACCTGACGAAGACTATTGCTTCGGGGCAGGAGAGTAGTTGTGGTGAGATCCATTCGGAAATATCTGTATCGCGTCTATTGTTTGTTTTTTGAGGTTGTTGTTGTTGTTATGATGGATTGGAATGCGGATTTTGATGCTGTTGGTCGCAAGGCTTCAAATAACAGATTTGTAATGGCGCCGAAGAGATTTTGTTGTTTCAACGGTATTTGTTTTTTTTTTACAATTCAGGTTCTTTAAATAGAATGATTGTGACATTTGTTGTTCCAAATCATTTCTCTATGATTGCATTTCAAAGCTTTGAATCGATCGTGTGAGTGGATGATGAATAATAATGGGCGATGAGGATCATTGTGGATTCAAGTATCAGGAAGAAAATGCAATAAGGTAAAGATGTGACAATTTCAAATTATGCCAACAATAAAATATACGAGCAGTGTCACTTTAAAGACACTATCTAACCAAGTCAACTCTTTCATTGTGTATGATTGTATTAAAAATCAATTCATTGCGCAATAATTTTACTGAAGAATTAGAAATATATTGGCAATGTGAATGTTTTGAAACCGCCAAAAATTTACATTTTTCAAATCCAAAAAAAATAAGCCACAACATGAGCCGACAACATTTGGACGTTGATTTTGGGCGGGCATTCACAAACCTGACTCATGAAGATGATCGACCACAATCGCCGAGTGCCTTATCGGGTGATTCGGTAGGAAAACCAAGAAAATTGAAAAAACAAAAAGTCATTAAGAAAAAGGATGAAAATGGAGAGTATCGATATTACAATCCCAATACGGGCGAGGATGTAACTGAAAAGTATTAAAACAAAAGGAAAAGAAGAAATTGGACACCAGTCAAGTTTCGGAGAATATGGAGGAACGAATAGAGAGGCCATCTTCGTCTTCACATTCGCCTTCGAAAACAAATGACAAAGACTCTCCAGCAAAACCTTTGTCTAGGAAGAACAACAACGATGAGCGAGCAGAACGCAAGCTCAAAAAAAATGTTTCAGAAACACAACAAAGATCAAACAACGATGATGACAATGCGGATCGTGACAACTTGAAACAAGTCACAAAGAAAAATAGAAATGAAGAAGAATTAAAATTGCAAGAACAACATTCAAACAGAGTTATTGCCAAGGTAAAAAAAGAATCATCAGAAACAGAAATCATGTCAACGAAATACGATGATGATGAGCCTACCTCATCGGAGCAACAACAAAGCCAACCCAAAGCAAAAACTGTTGTTCCTCATCTTGGCTTACCGTCATCATCCAGCACAGGTAACTTGGACCCGAACAGCGGTCGAAATAAGACACAATCCAAAGAAAGTAATGATGAGGAGGATGAACAGCCGTCCGACAAAATCATCATTACGCCCCTCCCACCAATAGAGCAAGATCCTTTTTGCTCCTCGCGAAACAAGCGATAATAATTTCGAAGTTTTTCAAGTGGAAAAACCACAATCCTCACATAGTGACGACAAGTCAATAAGTTCTTCTGAGAGATTACTCCATGACGAGGACCAGCAGATTGAGATGAATCAACAGCAGCAACGCGAAAGCTCACCTAAAGAGAAAAAAAGCTAAGTAATAGCGAGAGTAGAAGAAGACGACGCCGTTCAAAGCCCAAACCTGAAGAGACAACAAATAACAACATTCACGACGATGTGACTGAACCATCTCGTATTTCAGATGGCGCCAAGGAAGAAGAGACCCTTTCACAAGATGCCCTTATACAACCTCCAGCCGTCGTTTCTTCAACAATGGATGACCGTATTTTGGATCAGGACGAAACGACAACAAACGGGAGCGGCTCCTCAACTCAATCATTGGCAGAGGATGCCATAAATTCCTCTCCAAAAAACAATGATCCAATGGCAGAGTTGTATCAGGAAAATAATAATCAAGCCAATGTCACAACACCAGCATTACTACCCGGATATCTTGCTTCACAATCGGACACTATTTGGAGTAGGAAAGGATTGGCTAAATTTTGGAGAAAATCTTTGAATTTTGTAAGGACATTTTCCTTTACGGATCCTCAACAAGAACCAACAATCAAATCAAACAAACACTCATTATTCGATCCCACAAAGCGCAACATTGCGGATAGAATGACGCGACCAATTTTAACATTGACCATTAAGGGAGCAGATATGTTAACTCTAGATGAAAATGTGGTGCATCCTTGTGTTAAAGTTTCGGTCTTGGACATTCTCACGGGTCAATATCTTAAAGCTGACTCGTTCAACGACAAGTCCAGTGAGGTTGTTTTACCACAAATGACTCTACCTTACAATATGAAAAAGACCAAAAGTTTGGTGCCAATATGGAATGATACCATGTACTTTGATACACTTTATAATCACTTTCTGAAAGAAAATGTTGTATTTATTTTTGAACTTGTAGATTTCAGTTTTGAGTAGGTACATTTGATAGCGATGCATTGCAGGACGTTCTAAAATTATTATATTTACATTGAATGTTATTTTGAATTTAATATTTATGAAATGATATTTTGATGGCCTCAATTTCATCCTAAATTCTGAAATGACATGAAACATAAGAAAAGGAGAATACAAAATAGCCTGGGGATTCTTAAAGCCTGTGAGCTCGAGTGGAAGAGCCAATGCCGGCAAAGACTTGCGGATTCGACTTTTCAAATATCCAAGAAAAATTCCTGGAATTTTCTCAAAAATTTTCAAACCACACTCGCCTCTAGTACAACCTTCACAAGCGAGCGCTGCCTTAAACACTAATGCAGTCTTTTCCACCAATGAGGCGTTCTTATTGTATCAACATAGACATCAGGCACAATTATATCCCTCAACTCTCTACATTGAGATGAAAGCAATGGTAAGTTGGAGAATGAATATTTCTGAGAATCGATTGAACGACTTTGGCTCGTGTGAATTTACTTGTCCACACAAAATATCATCGTCATGAATTGCAACCACATAACACCCAACTTACGCGTGTAACACGAACTTTGTAAATGATTGGATTTGCAACAACAGCAACGACCGCCACGAAAAAAATATCATTTCCTGAACGACCCCAAAAACCTAATGAATTTGAAATTGGAAGATTCACACTCGAGGAATTGCTTCAAAATAATGATGAGCAAGTGGTAAATATTGTACAGACTGAACAAACCAAAGAAAAGAAGAAGGAACAATCACTTCAACGACTCAAACTGAAACGAGATGTGAATGAGCCATGTGAAATTCCATCAAAGTTATTGTTTCAATTTGATGCTGGAGAAAAGGGATGTATTTGTTTGGAATTTTCAAAATCGGGTCAATACTTGGCTTGTGGATGTCACACCAATGAGAGGTATGGCCAATTGAAAATTTATGATGTCTTTGAGGGAACTCTGGTTGAAACGATTAATGCTCATATTGATCTTATTTATACCATTGATTGGAATTGTGACGATACTGAGATTGTCACTGCATCATCGGATGGTATCTGTAAAGTTTGGAATGTCGAATACGACAAGAAAAAGGCCTCCAACAGGAAACCAAAACTCATTTCGGCGATGCAACACCCGTGCTATGTCTACACGGCACGATTTCATCCCATCTGCAAGAAAATTGTTGCATCGGGAAGTTATGACCGTCGAATTCGAATTTTCAATAAGGACATTGGAAAGACTATCAAAGAACTCGAAGGACACACCTCTAGAATCAGTAGCATTGCTTTCGACAATGGTGGAACCAGAATGTATTCTGCAAGCGGTGACGGTGTGATCAAAATTTGGAGTTGCCGCCTCAGAGAGGATTCAACCTTAGACGATATTTCCAACTCGTTTGCCTGTATGAGAACCATTCAAGATACTGAGCTGAGCAAATCCACTCTCACCTGTATTCGCATTGATCCAAAATATTCTCAAGAACGTTTGTTTATTCATTCTCAGGACAACATGTTACGACGATTGGACACTGGCCTCAAAAACATTCGTAATCGATATCACGGTGTGAAATGTTTTATCAATGCTCAGAAATGTAATGTGAGTCCAGACGGCCAATACATTGTCTCTGGATCCGATATTGGAAGAGTTTACTTTTGGAATGTTGAGAGTGAGGAATTAATTTATAAGGAAGGAAAAGATTTTGGATTTGAGGATTCGCCAGTCTACGATATTGCATGGAGTTCGAAAGAACACATGATTGCCTTGTGTTCATTCGATGGTAGTCAACCCATTCGAGTGTATTGTTTTGAGAAGGCCATTGAGGAATTTACCTCAAAACCTCCTCACTCACAGGAAAATCCTCAAGGCAGTACACACAGTTCAGAACCTTTACACAAATTGCAGTCGAATCATTACACAAATCCATCCTTCTCTCATCACTACACATCGTCGAATATTCAGGCATTATTAACCAAACGATCGAATGGCTCGAGTAGCAATGATCCAGCAGCGGCACTTCCACTCAGTCCTTCAAGTCAAAGTTTTTCACAATGCCTCAGTCACCCATTAGTAGTGGCAAACATGCATCACAAGTGCCACCGCCACGCAGTTCAACCTTATTATCGAGTGGATTCAATTTTGGATCAAGATCAAAAACACCAGATCCAATCAAGCTCAACCCTGATCATTCCTTGGTTGGGTCAAGGCCCAGAACTTCAACTGCACCAAAAGTGGAATTTCAATAAGACCGTTTTCTGATTCCCACAATATGTAATGCAAAATAAAGTCATTATTTATTGTACGTTTGTCATTCATGCATCGGGTGTTCTTTATTTTTTAGAGAGGTATTGCTGTTCGTTTTAAAGGAATCAGTAATAAATACAAATAATAAATAACAATAATAACAGCAATAATCACGATCGAATACTACCATGATCCTACTTGAAAAAATCCAAAATCAATTTTTGTTGCTTTGGATTAGATTCCTTATTTGAGGTTGATTTTGAGGGGTTGGTGGGGTTGGTGGTAGAGTTTGCTTGTTTTTGCTTGAATGAACTGGATTGGTCTGACTTGTTGACTCTTGATTATTGTTAGCACTCGATCCATTAACTTTGAATGTTGAAGTAGTCGATGTGGACGAAGAGTCATTCGACTCACTTGTTTTGTTTGAATTTCTTCTCTTTGGGGTTTCATTCTTGTTAGTTTGTGACGTTGTTGATATCTTCTTTTCATTTCCTTTTTTCTTTTTAAAGGTGACTTTTGTCTCATCGAGTCCAATCACCAAAGAACGATTCAATTCCTCCAGAGAGGGAGAAGAAGTGCTTGGTGATGTATTTTGCATGAGCTCATCAAGTTTTCTCTTGTGGCTCGATGATTTGTCTGGAGTGGTCGTTGTTGTTGCTGTTGTCGAATCTTCTTTCATTTTAATTTCCACACCCGAGTTGGATCCCAAATGACACGTCGTTCTCATCGATTCCAAAATATCTTCAAAATTCTTCGAGTGACATCTCGTCTCCTCTATGAGTTTCCTTTTATCGACTTTATATTTAAATTGATGAGTAGCCACCAAATAGAACGCCACAACCTTAAAGACTGATTTGGAAAAATTGGCACCACTCTTCCCTTCAAATTTTTTCATCATTTCTTGTTGATACTTTTCCAAAAGTCGCTCACAAGCAGCTCCAATTCCACTACATCCAAATGATAAACATAAATCTTCAAATTTAATCGGAAAGGTCACTCCCAATAAATTCACAGCTTCTTGAAATGCTCGTTCATAATCTTGTGGCGAAGAGGCCGATTTTTTAATGGCCAACTCTCTCGAAAATTGTGGAATATTCAATATGTTACAAGCAATATCCACACATACTGGAATTTGGCACAGAGAAAAGTTCGGAGAGAGACGTCCGGCACTCCGAGAGAGAGCACCTTCTAATCCGAATAAATAATCCTTGACCTTGGTGATGACTTTTTGAATACTACTCAGATCAAGGCCCGGAGCCAAGGCTGAAATGTAATCTTTGGTGACTGTGGCTACGAGGAAGCGACAAGTCATTCCTAAAGGTGATGATGAATTTTTTTTTGGAAATGAAATTTGAATTTTTGTAACGGAAACATAACATTGGCGCCACTTGTTTACAAATTCAACAAAAAAAAATACAACCTTTTAAAATCATAATCACGTGATTGAATCATGTCCAGAACAACATCGGAATCAAAAGATGAGATGAATAATCATGTTTGGATCAATGGTAGGTGAAGAAAATTTTGAAAACATTGTGTGGAAGTGAGATGAGCTTACCTTCTATGGTATTCAAAAAATCCAAAATGATTAGCTTGGTATGATCCTTTGGCCACAGTAACAGCCATGTCTCAATGTATGATGTTTTGTGATATCAATGGAGATGGAGATTATAAACTTGTGGCAGCAACTTCGGGAAAGAATCCATTGGAAAGCAAGAAAACAAAACAAACCCATCGACTCCGAGTCTATAAAGGAACTGGAATAATTAGCGAGAATATTTTATTAGAAGAACCTGTGGCCATCGCATCGTATTATACGGATTATCAAAGCCCAAAACGTCCCATGATTCTTGTCGCAAGCACCAACAAGTTATTTCTCTACAAGAATTTACAGCCATTTTTCAAATTTTGTATTCCTTCAAAAAAAATTGATGAAAAAGAGGCGGAAATTTGGCAATTCTTGAGTGAGGGAAAATATGACAGCAAGACGGCTTTCTCAGAGTTGGCACGACTTCGTGACCTTAATGTTGCTCTGAGCCCTCGAAGTTATGAATTGCTCTCGCTTACATCGAATGACGATATTCGGCAATTTATCGATTCCAGAAAAAATACGCCCATCGATTTTCCAAACAACATTACATGCCTTTCCATCTTACCAAAAGATAGGGAAGGAGAGGACGCTATTGGATGCCCAGTGATCGGAACAGAATCAGGAATTGTTTTCATCTTGTCTCCATCCGGTTCACAAATCATCAAAGCTGTTCAGCTTCCTTCGGCACCTGTTAAATTATGTATCGCTGGAAATTTAGATAATGATTATCGAATTGCAGCAGCCTGTAGAAATGGAAATGTTTATACCATCAAGAATGGAGAAGTGAGCGGAGTTGTTATAGAGCTCGAGTCACATCCAGTGACGATGGTAAGAATTGACAAAACTTTTGTGATTGGCCTCATGAATAGTACCATTCACTGTTTCAACACGAGAGTAAGTATTGGAAAGGAGCTTTTATTTGATTCGAGGAACGTTTGACTGATGATCGACATTTAAACAAATAATTTGTGAAATGCTTATTGTTTATGTGATCATGTAACAAACGCAACAGGGTAAAAAACAATATTCCATTTATTTGCCTGCTCCCATTAAAGACATGGAGGTGCTGGATATGAGAGGCCAACGCAGTGTAAAATGCGTCATGGTTGCTCTCGAAAATAAGGAATTACGTATTTATAATGGAAAATCTCTTGTGAATACTATTAATTTATATGAACATGTCGTAGGTTTGAAATATGGCACCTATGGCTCCGAAGTAAACAGCTTGATGATTTCATACCGAAGTGGAGGTTTAGATTTTAAGGTCATTTCACGAAAAGCCAGTCTAGAAAGTAAGACTAAAAGTGGACCACCACCTGAACAGGAAGAACCTCTTGACCTTCCTACCAAAACGTTCTTATATTTGGAACAAACAAAACGGGAAGTGGACTACTCATCAGAAATGCACAATGCATTCCAGAAAGATCTCGCCCGTGTTCGTCTCAATACTGCGCGAGCCTATGTGAAAATTTTAACAGATGGACAGGGACCATTGTCATACACATCGGGCTCTTCTATTCGATTGGTGGCCAATGTGCAAGGTTTAGGGCCAAAATTTAAGGTCAACATTGAAGTTCAGAATACTGGTAAGAAGCCCATCTCCAATTTGTTTATTATATTTGCATACGATGAAGACATTTATTCTTTGGAAGATGATGCAAGAAGGTTAAATTTACCCTCTCTTTTACCTGGACCTCTCTACAGATTTAGTAAGATGGTGAATATGTTGGATCCCTCGATTGCACCGGACACTCTTCGTCTCTTTGTATGTAGTAAGGAAGGTACATCACCAGTCATTACAGCAGTGGTGAACATGCCAATGGCTGAAATGGTGGAATTGATGTAGTGGTGTGTCAAGAAAGGTATCAATTTAAATAACCTTGTGTAACTAAAGATCTTTCTGTGCTGTTAATTAAACCAAACAGCATACTCCATATTAATTTATTATTTTGCCTCAATAGAGCTCTACATTTTCACTTGTTAACGTATGAAGGAACAACTTGCAATATTAATAGCAATAGGAGAAATTCTGTGAGTTTTGTGATGGGTTGACAAGTCTTGGCAGAAGAGGAAGAAAGTGAAGAAAAGAAAATAACAGGATTCTTTTGTGCATCATCTACAATCTTTTGAATGGCAAGAATTATTTCTTCTAAGGTCAGAGAGGAGAGTTCAATTTCAGAACATGGTTGAAGTGTTGTTCTCGATTGTTGTGGATGTGATTGCGTGTTGCTGTCATTGCTGGTGAAGGAAAATTGGAAAGGTGAGGCATTGAGAGTGGTATTAGAGAATGCAAAACCACCTGTGCCACTAGTAGAATTCAAAGAAAATGAAGGAAGCAGGTTGTCGTGAGAGGATTGAGAAGTTCGCAGAGAAGATGATAGTGAGGAGGAATTTCCAAATGTGTTGGAATTGCCACTTCGGTTAATGTCGGCATTTCCTGAGGCGCTTCGTTTTCTATGATTGTCCCTATTATTTGCTGAGCTATTACTCATTCCAAAATTAAAGAACGTATTTCCAGAAGAAGATCTGCCATCGCCACTACTATTGCTTGTAAACAGATGACTCGTCGTCGCCGTGTTCAAATTCGAATTGGGTTTGTTTGAGGTGGAAGTCGAGGATGAAGTACTTGCATTAAACAGATCCGTACTTGTCGTATTTGAATTTAGTGGTGGTAGTGTTGTTGTGGTGTTGAAATTAAATCGGAATGGAGTGTCAGAATTGATGGCACTTTGTGAACTATTAGTAGGATTGAATGAAGCTGCTCTTGTTGTACTAGCTTGGTTGTCACTTCTATTATTGCCATTCAACGAAAAGGTTGAGGAAGGAGATGATGAAAATACTGGACCACTACTATTCCAAGTATTCGATGTGTTGGATGGTGCGTTTGTTCCGTTAAAATTAAGCTGAGGCTGTTGCTGAGCTACTCTCGTTGTGGTTGCCTCCGATGAACTACTTGTTGTTGCCGATGACAAATGATTATTCGTTGTTGATAATGATGATGTTGATGTAGTTGCAGTATCATTCGAAGATGATGTAAATTTGAACGAATCTTGTGATTGTTTGTACATGAAATCAAGTTTGAATTTTTCTAGAGGCGACAGACCATTCCAACACTTGCCAAGCGCTTGACCTTCGGTATGGGAAACTCCTTCAGCATCAACCACAGGATTTGCTCGTCTTCGTTGCCTTCTGGCATGGTGATGATGATGCTGGTCATCGTCGTCAGCGTGTTGATGAGGAGCGAAAAATCTTCTTGGTCCAAACTGAGGGAAGAACCCTTCATCATCATCGTCATCATCATCGGACGTGGTTTCACCAACATGATCCTCCTCATCGTCCTCATCAGACCGATCGGAATCATCAATGAGGGGTGGATATGCAATGGATCCATCACTACGATGAACATTTCGTGTGATTACATGTACCACAACAGCAACATCCCTCTGTTCCATCATCGTCCTCTTCGGTTTCCTCGTCCGAATCTATATCAACCCATTCATCATCATCATCATCTTCATGATTATGACTCTCATTACCACTACTTGAAGAAATAAGGTCAGGTGGTGGATCATCATGTTCAATCAAAGGAGGTAAGTCTTCATTCAAATCATCATCCAAATCATCATTCGGGTTATTCTTTTCGTTTGGATTCGTGGTGGAAGGTGCATTTGAATTCGACATTTTTTTGTTCTGTTTTGGCTTTGCTTGAAAAGCACTTTTCGAATTGAATCCACCGCTTGAATTGAATCTTTAGAGAAATACAAAATAGACATCATGCAATAATACTTGTTTCCATTTATTTCCTAGAGTTTTGAAATAGTTGTACATGATGATGATTCCAGGTAACTAGATGCATAAATAATTAATTGTTGTTGTAGTATGTGACAGTTTCTACTTTCTATTTACATAATGGGATGAATCAATTTGATAGTATTGAAGAGAACGCTGACTCGTTTTCGACTCAAAGGTCTCCATGAATGAAATATCATTGTTGGTAATCAAACTCCACGGTGACAATGGTGGGTCATTAGGTGATGTCATTGCTGTTGTAGAATGTGTGGTTGTGACAGTAGTGGTGGTAGTATTGACTGCAATTCGTTCATTGGTAGGCTGATTGGATGCAGTCTCTTTGGGTGCGCATTCTCTCTTCAAGTGAGAGAGTCCACAAATAGAGGCTTTAACATTGGTTCGTTCCGAGAGTGGAGTTTTGTGGTAAATTCCAATTAATTCCTCAACAATTCGGATCATTGTCGCTGCATGTGTCACAAGTAGAACTGTGGGTTCTGCATTCTCAGTTCTTATCTTTTTGACATTATTTTCAACATTGTAAAAAGTTCCTCTCACTCTGCGAATTAAGTCATACATCAGTTCCATTGTATTCTTCTCCGTAAAATAACTGATATAGTTTTGAGGATTAAGAGAAAAATAGAGCCCCTCCAAATTCAACTCCTCATTACAAAATTTGTCTACCATAAACTTGCTTAAAAATGGAAATTCCAGTCTAATCTGATCAATGTTTGGAGGCATCATATCCAGTGTCCATTTTCGTTTCAAACCATAAAATTCCATCAGTCCAAAGTCAATGTAAACTTCAATATTAAACTTTTTCCCATCCCTCTCACTTTCCTCCGAAATACTTTTGACAATTTGCTCGGTTGTTTGAAGGCATCTATGAAAAGGTGAGGTGTATATCTGGAGTGTTTTTGAAACGTTTTCATCACAGGAATTAGTGAATTGTGCTTGCTCCACTTTTTTAACAAGATATTTGAGGTAAAAGTTTTGTCCAAATAATTTAGCACACAGCCGACCTCTTTCTGTTAAAGGTGGATCTGCATCATAATCCCCATTCACGTCTATCGGTGTGCTTGGTGTTTCCGCTGAGGAAGCCGATGAGGGAGGTGATGTTGGTGAGGCAAGTCCATGAAGACCAGTTCCATACTTGATCAATTGAGAGGTCTTCTCTCCGTGCCGAGTGACAAACAATTCTTTCAGGGATGGAATGGTGTATTGTGGATAATGAATGGTGAGATTTTGTTGGACAGAAGCAGCAGTAGTTATTGACCTGCCAGTTGTAGTAGTAGTAGTAGTAGTAGTAGTAGAGCCGCCGTTACCTGATGCAACACCTTGTGACTGTGTGGGTAGCACCATGTTTGGCCATGATGATGAAATAACTGGTGGTTGCTGCTGAAACTCCAACAGTGACGTTAATGAAGAGGTGGAAGAATTTGAGAGGGTACTACAAGTAGTGCCAGTTGGTGATGAGACCAATGAATTGAGCGTGCTTGAGCAAGTATCGGAGATGCACGTTGTATGGTCCTGGAGGTGGTGGTGGTGACTATTGGAATTTTCAATACATGATGAATCTGATGATGACGACAATGATGGTGGATGGATGATATCCCTGTCATGGTGGTGATGATGGTGATGAGAGAAGTAATTGCCTCCTGTACTAGTAGTTGTGTTCTGAACGTTTTGGTTGCTGCTGTTGTTGTTGTTGGTATTAGAATGTAGAGCAACGGAGGATGATGTTGATCTATTTCTGGTGGAAATAACCGGCGGTGAGCAAAGGTCATTCGTTGTGTATTTGTGGTGATGTAGTTGAGTCGGTGTGGTGACAAACCGAGAGGACTCGTTTTCATTTCCGTTCGTGTGAATGGATTGATTCATGTTGTGTGCTTGAGTAGGCTGATGATGGAAATGATAATGACCGTTATGATTCGTGGTGGAGCTACTATTACTTGAACCGCTGGTGCTGCAACTACTCTCAGATTGTCTTTTTGTAGGAATAATAATCAATGAATCCTCGTCCTCCAAAATGGTGGTTGGAGGCATGTCCATCATCATAGAGAGAAAAAGGCTGTTTGAGGGAAAAGGTGAGGGAATATTGAGAGGGAATATACTTCTGCTGCTGCTGGTGATGATGATGATGATTTTTGTTTCCAAATCTCGTGTGCCACCAACCAACCAACCAACCAACAAAATAATAACAACAACGTGATGAGCGATGGAAAAGACTCTTCGGGTCAATTCTGTTGTTATTGGTAACTATTATTACTCTTTGACAACAATGGGGTTTTAGAAATTATTTGGTGATGACAAGGATGAGAAAGAGAGCTTCTGGACCGAGTAGTCGTCTTTTTGTCCCAATGTAAACAAAAATTAACGTTGAATAATTTTTTTTTCTCTCGACTCTGGTGTGAATCATCCTCTCTGAATCATCTCTTTCTCGTTGATTTGGATTAAATTGAGAATCAACTCCCATTTATATCCAAATGGTGCTTGCTTTGGCCATCATGATCTTCTCACAAATGAATGAACAACCCTGGTCACCTCCGTTTGATTTCAAACCCTTAGAATCAATCCGAATAATTCACACGCGAACACAATAAAAATAGCAAACTTTAAGGGAGATCACGTACAATCCAATCTGAGATTGACCCTTCCAAAATTTGACACAACCACTGAAAGCGCATTCACGCCAACCCAAAAAAATATGTCAGAACCGTCACGACTGTCGTCGATCAAACGATCATTTCCCAACCATGCATCATCGATCTCCTCAAATACATCATCTTCATCATCACCACCACCATCGGATCGTTCATTTCCACAATCTTCACAATCATTGACAAACCATTCCGCTTCACCATCCAAAATGGTTCAAAGTATCAGCGATGCAATAGTAGTAAATTTGCCAAGTCATCATCATCATGATGAGGATCACCAGGACGACCATCAACAACACCATCACGAACAACATGACTCTCAATCATCATCATGGACATTATCACCTTCCTCTAGGAATCGAAGAAAATCCAATCAGGATCAATATTCCTCGATCTCTACCACACCTCCTCATCATGAAGAGCCTCTTTCATGGTCTGGAGATCAATCGCCAGCATCATCCATTCATAGCAGTGTTGTAACAACAACTCGAACAAATTCATCGTCACATTCTAGTTCTAATAGTAGTAGTAGTAATAACAACAATAGCAACAGTAACTATTATTCACCACTATCACATCACCCTCCTCATAACACTCTCGGATCAAGTAGAAGCATGTCATCACCTGCATTGTTTTCCATGATGGATTCGAGAGGAATGGGAAGTTACATTAGTCATTGTTTTGGAATTTCATCACGATCTTTGCATAATGATTCATTCGAAATGATTCCTCTCACTGTTTTGACGTTGTGGAAATTAGAGGATTATGGTGTGACATCATCGACGACGACGACGACAAATCCTCACGGAGGAGTATCTCCAGCCAAAGATTTTGAATCTAACCCATTCGAGAGTGTTCGATCGAATGAATTTCACACTTTTTTAGAGAGCAGTGACACGACCACGAACGTTCCGAGATCAACGAAGAGAAGGCCAGAAATGGTGAGAGGAGACTCTTACATGTTAATGTGGTGTCCGTGGTTTAACATGTATGATAATTTATTTATTGAATTTTGGCTTGTTAAATTAGATGAATCTGTTGTCACAACCTCTAACGCAACACATACGAGATCAAATAATTTTACTAATAGTAGTAATAATAGTAGCAACATCAATTCTTCAAAACACTCCTTTTCTCAATGCTCTCCATCACCTTCAAATGATGGCTCTAATAATAATAATTTTCGCTTACTCAAAGTTCGACAACAAGCAAAAGCACTCTCAAAACAACCGAATGAACGATTTTTCAGTGGAAATATTTGGGGATATTCAGTCGTCCTAAACTCGCCGTTGAACCAAACCAATGAAAGCATTTTATCTCAATACTTGGCAAATGCATGTCCATCTTCGAGTACTCACTTTTTCGGAAATGATTTGGAAAATTTAATTATATGCTTTTTGGACCTACTAAACTTTTCAAATTCAAGCTTAATGTTAAAAGGAATTTCACAAAAATTACAAATCTAAAATCAAATCAGAATATGTCACCGATGTAGAATCGATTGATTTTGTGGAAGCCCTTGATTACAAATCTCTTCGTGTACACAATGCAATTACTCCATCATCGGCAGTCACAACTCCCACAGATGTTTTTTCGATGTGACTAATACCGTCGAAGAGGAAGAAGAAATGATCGATGAATTGTATCATGGTCTATTCGATTCGACTAGCATCATTTCAGACAGTGCCAGAAAATCCCTTCAATTAATGTCACGCATTGAAATGATTCATGACCATCTTCAAGGGTATGGTTTTGTGAGATGTGACATTCATAATAATTGTCACTTGTACTCATTGCAGAGATCTGACACTTACGTACCAAGTCCAAGCTCTGCCAATGAAAGTATCAGCGATGATTCCTTTCTCGAATTACAATCACCCCGTAGTAACACTAGTATTACGACTACTCTCTCTGTCTGCGAGAGACGATCATGCAGAATCGCTCACCATTCTCTGAGTTTAGTGTTTTTCAAAGACAAATCGCTCGAAAACAATATTTGAATTTGAAAAGCCCAACCAGTGGAAGATTTGAAATGAGTTATTCACCTCACTCGAAAAATCATGTAAAAATTGGATTTGAAAAAATTGGTCACATTTTACCATTTCATGTGGAATCTGGAAAATTGAACATGATGAATCATTCGAATATCAAAATTTGTAAATTTGATGAGAACTTGTTCTTAGTGATGGAAATTGACGAAAAGAACATGAAAAAGCAATGGGAACATTATCAATTATTGCAACAACATCAACCCAATAATTATTTTCAAACTATGAATGTCACATCCAGTCACGAGAGCTCATCACCACCTCCATTCATCATTGAGAGAAATCTAATGATGGAAGCCAATCAAGACAAAGAATTTGACGCTTTACAGTTTTTCAAATTTTACATTCTTGATTTGTCCAAATCTGACGATGTGAAACTATCAAGACTTTTCACGAGTTATGATGCCACGCATCCAACAAGTCATGCCACAATCTCACAATTTTCCTCCTCCAAAATTCATGAAGCTTATCTGAAAATTTCTACTCCTAAAACAGTTAAGAATCAATCTATCATCTCTAACTCGACAATTTCTCACAATTCCTTCTTACACATGAACAACCTCAATAGAAATCAGTTAACAACCAGTGACACAATATCTCATACCAATGACACCAATGATCATAACAATGTTCAATTCTCACTTCAGGAGCCACATCCATCAACACCACCGTCGAAACAACAGCTCTCTCCACAACCAAACAATCAATTTTCTCTGCAAGTCAATTTACAACACAACATGCTTCCAGTTTACAAAAATCAAAAATCCAAAAAGAAGAGATTTGACACTGAATTTAC